GCCATGCCTCACATGCCATGCCTCTCACATGCCATCCCATGCCATGCCTCACATGTCATCTGACGACATTTTGGTGTATCCAATCGCTAGAGCGTTCTCCTTGCCCTCTGCGAATATGGCCTGGCAGGGCAGGGAAGCAACAACACCACATGGGGTGGGGGGTCGTAGTGTGGAGGAGTTTATGCAGCAGCACAGCAGCACATAACCAATGATTCCATATTCAGGGGTTCTATTCTGGCTCAGCCACCGTCCATATTCCCTCCCAGGGACGTGAGCCCAGGACACAAGATGTAGGCTCCTCCTGACATCACAAACTCATGCTTTCATTCAGTTGACTTTTGAGTCGACTCGTGAGTTGACTTTTGAGTCGACTCAAAAGTCAACTCCTCCTGACATCACAAACTCATGCTTTCATTCAGTGTTGAAGGGCTGTATTTCGGCCATCACTCACCACAGGGGTGTAAGGGCTGTATTTCGGCCATCACTCACCACAGGGGTGTAAGGGCTGTATTTCGGCCATCACTCACCACAGGGGAGTCTACAGGAATGCCGCCGTCCATCTTCCCCCCCAGAGGACGTGAGCCCCGGACACATGATGTTGGCCCTGACATCACATCACAAGCTTGATTGCTCCCTTCGGGGTATGATTCGACTATTTTTTTGAAGAGTCCTCACGATCCTCTCACGACAGGGGAGTGTGGAGGACTGCCATCACAAACTTGATAGCTCCCCTCCGCGGTCAAACAGTTGTATCCAGTCTCTCTCACTCACCACAGGGGAGTCCACCGGAATGCCATCGTCCATCTTCCCGCCAGGGGATGTGAGTCCCGGGCACATGATGTTGGCTCCTGACATCACGAACTTGATCGCGCCCCTTCAGCGTTACACAGTTGCATGCATTCTCTCTCACTCACCACCGGGGAGTCAGTAGGAATGCCGTCGTCCATCTTCCCGCCAGGGGATGTGAGTCCCGGGCACATGATGTTGGCCCCTGACATCACGAACTTGATCGCGCCCCTATCCACCTGCATCTTACGCATCATGTCTGGGTCTGGTGTTTGGGGGAATGGGGGGGAGCGGGGGAGGGGTGTTGGCGAATAGGGCAACATGAGGGGTCAGCTGGCTTGATGGCTTGATGGCTTGATGACGACCCTATCCCTTCAGATCCTTTCAGATCCGAATCCGGACAGGGATCCCCTATCCACCTGCATCTTGCGCATCTGTCCGGACAGAAGCTTCTGACCATCTCCTTCCCTGCCGGATCAGGTGTTATTGTTGATTCGGCAGGAAAGGAGATGGTCAGAAGGAGGGGATGCAAAACAGGGGTCTGTGGGATAAGCTTAGTAGCGAGAGAGGATAAGGCTGCCACGTCAGCAGCCGGCCCGTCTGAGGCTGACGCAGCATCAGTGAGAATCGATGCGGGGAATGGGAGTGAGGGTGCAGCAGGCGGAGCGTGGGCATGTAGGGCCCGTCCCTCACGTTGTCCCTCATTGGTTATGGGGTGCGGTGTGAAGTATGCGCAAAACAATCTAAACCAAATCAAATCCACGTGTGGCATACTTACATTGGTGCAGCAGGCGGAGTGTGGGCATGAAGGGACCGTCCCTCACGTTGAAGAAGAGTGGAACGCCGTTCATGACCACTATGCTCACATGGTTGGGACTGCAAACACGGGAGTCATTGTTAGGGGTAGTACACACACAGGAGGGAGGGTGGGGATAGGGTGGGTGGGCATGAAGGGCCCGTCCCTCACGTTGAAGAAGAGTGGAGCGCCATTCATCACCACGATGATCACATGGTTGGGACTGCAGATATGGGAAGTGTTAGTAGGGGGTGGTAGAACACACACACGAAGGAGGGAGAATGGGGGTAGGTTGGGTTGATGGGGAGGAAAGCGTATGCTTGGGCATGTCAGAGGCAGTTCTAACGTTGAAAAAGAGCAGTACACCATTCATTACAGCTATGAAAGAAGAAAAAAAGGAAATCGCAGCAGCTGCTGCTTATCGAAAGGCGATAACACCGGACCAGGCCACTTCTTGAGGCACCAACAGAGTAATAACAACGATAATAAAAATAGAAATAAACGGACATAGCAAAAAACTTCCACACACCATTTGGCGATCACGATGGGTGACTTCTTGGGCAACAGGTCTTCCAAGACTGAGTCCAGACTCGGGTACTGCGAGGGGGGAGGGATGGAAAGGGGCGGATTGAGAGGGCGGGAGGGGAGAGAATCACATGGCAATGTAAGAGAAGGGAGCGTAGTGTTTTGTAGTGTATCGTTGAGTGGGGAGCATGGGGAGCGTAGTGTTTTGTAGTATATCGTTGAGTGGGGAGCATGGGGGGCGTAGTGTTTTGTAGTGTATCGTTGAGTGGGGAGCATGGGGGGCGTAGTGTTTTGTAGTGTATCGTTGAGAGTGGGGAGCATGGGGGGCGTAGTGTTTTGTAGTGTATCGCTGAGTGGGGAGCATAGTGTTTTGTAGTGTATCGTTGAGTGGGGAGCATGGGGAGCGTAGGGTTTTGTAGTGTATCGTTGAGTGGGGAGCATGGGGAGCGTAGTGTTTTGTAGTGTATCGTTGAGTGGGGAGCATGGGGAGCGTAGTGTTTTGTAGTGTATCGTTGAGTGGGGAGCATGGGGAGTGTAGTGTTTTGTAGTGTATCGTTGAGTGGGGAGCATGGGGAGCGTAGTGTTTTGTAGTGTATCGTTGATTGGGGAGCATGGGGAGCGTAGTGTTTTGTAGTGTCTCGTTGTCAAAGGTCCTTCCACAGCGAAATGTAGTGTTTTGTAGCACGGGGTCTAGAGGTTGACTTTGGGAATTCTCAAGATCAAAATTAACACCGGAGGCGAGGCGAGGCGAGGTCTAGAGTCTAGACTTGGGTACTGCGAGGCCAGGAGGGAGGGCCGGTTCCCATGCGGCCCATGCGGCCCACGCGGCCCATGCGGCCCACGCGCCCCATGCGGCCCACGCGGCCCATGCGGCCCATGCGGGCCATGCGGACCATGGGCTATGCTACCCTGAAGCATCTGCTTCTATGCTCACCTCGGCTATGGTTTGCCGAATAATGCGCTGAAATGACGCCTTGAGCTGATTGAGTGGCCTGGCCGGCCGGAAAATATGATAGTGAGGTGCTAGAAGGAGAAGAGGGCTCACCTCCTCGGCTATTGATTGCCGAATCCTGCGCTGAACCGACGCCTTGAGCTGGTTCTGCCCTGCTACTTCATCGTTGGAGAATCTGTGTGAAAGGAAGACAGGGAGGGGAAAGAGAGTGTGGACAGGAGGGAAGGGAAGTTGTTAGGTGTTTCAAGAGTAAAATTCTGTGCTGAACCGACGCCTTGAGCTGGTTCTGCCCTGCTACTTCATCGTTGGAGAATCTGTGTGAAAGGAAGACAGGGAGGGGAAAGAGAGTGTGGACAGGAGGGAAGGGAAGTTGTTAGGTGTTTCAAGAGTAAAATTCTGTGCTGAACCGACGCCTTGAGCTGGTTCTGCCCTGCTACTTCATCGTTGGAGAATCTGTGTGAAAGTAAGACAGGGAGGGGAAAGAGAGTGTGGACAGGAGGGAAGGGAAGTTGTTAGGTGTTTCAAGAGTAAAATTCTGTGCTGAACCGACGCCTTGAGCTGGTTCTGCCCTGCTACTTCATCGTTGGAGAATCTGTGTGAAAGGAAGACAGGGAGGGGAAAGAGAGTGTGGACAGGAGGGAAGGGAAGTTATTAGGTGTTTCAAGAGTAAAATTCTGTGCTGAACCGACGCCTTGACCTGATTCTGCCCTGCTACTTCATTGTAGGAGAATCTGAGCCGGGAGAGAGTGAGGGGGGCACAAAGGGGCGGAGAGGGGGGTAGGGTAGCAGAGGTGGGGAGCGGAGGTGGGGGGGAGAAGGAGGGACGGCAGGGCGTGCTGAACAGACGCCTTGGGCTGATTCTGCCTTGCTACCTCGTCGTTGGAGAATCTGAGCAGGGATTCAGTGAGGGGGTGACAGGAGAGGGGGGTAGCAGAGGTGGGGAGAGGAGGAGGGGGGAGGAGGGATGACAGGGCGTGCTAAACAGACGCCTTGCGCTGATTCTGCACTGCTACCTCGTCGTTGGAAAATCTGTGTGAAGGAAGACAGGGAGGGGAAAGAGATGGAGGCCAGGGGGGAAAGGGAGGGGGAAGAAGGAGGGAGGGAGGCGGGGAGGAAGTAGGTGGAGGAGACAAGCAGATACGGTTATTCAGCCGGCACTGGCTTGACAGCCAGGCGACGGAATGACTCAACTTAGTCACTGTATCAGTCCACGGAAAGGAGGCGGATACCGCGCGATGCGCTGTGCAGAATGAGAAGAAGAGACGGGGGCGTACTTTTTAAACATGACGAGCCGCGGAAACGAGACGAAATGGAGGGCGTGGATGCTGGCGGGCGTGCGGATTCCGAAGCGTATGACACGACCCGCGTTTGAGACGTCGTAAGGCGTTTGAAGTGAATGGCACGAGGCGCTAAATCAGAACTATGAGCTACTAACTCAGAGATTTAGTATACGAACACAGATCATACGCCTGCAGCAATGTATCTTGAACCCAAAATGCCTGAAAAACGAAACCCAGGTCGTAACTGCTCCGAAAACAGCAGAGTTTCAACAAAGATCGACGGCCATCAAAGTTGGAACTTAACTCGTTTGCCAACCGTAGTCGCAGAGATTGACTGAACGATTCGTATATTGCGAAATATGTGGCCCTTCATTGGCGAGCGAGATCGTAGGAGGAAATGCGACATCCATCTGTAACTTGAAAAACCCGCTACTGAAAGTGAAAGGCTATTTGTAAACAAGCCTTCAAGTATGATATACGCGTTTCTAGTTTAGTATCACTTCACTGAAACAGCAAATGGTTGTTACGTATCACGCACTTTCCAAAGATATAGTGTACAGTGGTAGTACATTCCAATTCTTGAAATGCCAACATTCCATGGATTTGCCAACCAAGCCAGGCTGAATCTAAGTACCACCGATTAGGGTTTCCTGTACTCGCTATGAATCGTCCGTCCTTCAGGCCGCGGCCGGTGGACATCAATAAGAAGCTCGCGATCGTCCGATCGACGGACGAGCTGAACGCAGAGGACGAGGGCGTATCGAGGACCGTCCATCATGGCCACATCGCTCTCGATGCCGAAAATGAGCAGGTCCAGACTGTCCGCTTCTCTCGAAACCCTAAAATGCATCCCTCCCGTCATTCCCGGCATCGTTGACTGGATTCTGCAGAGCGTCGCTATGCTTACACCGACGAGCATCGGTAACCGAATATTTTCCGAATTTTATCTAGCAGATCTGACGTGTACTCTCTGTCGACATCTTGTGTCCGTGTCATGCCCTGCCTACGTGGCAGATCCTGCCGGCACCTTCCAAGAAGGGACCGTCCGTGGAGATCCCGACACCTCACTGCGGCGTGGTCGAAGCGTACGACAAGCTCTACCCGGCGAACTTTCGCCAACCGTCGTCGTACATTCGCAGCAAGCACGGTGCGACATCCTTGCAGTGCAAATCCGACCGTTAACTCGACTGCCGTGGCCTCGACCTGTCCTGCTGTCTTGCTGTCGCGGCTTTGGGCCGCGGTGTCATAACCGTTCTGTGCTGCTGTGCTGCCGTGATGTTGTATGTCGTTCTGTCATGCTGTTGTGATGCTCATGTCCCCATGTCTTCTCCTCTATTCTTTCCACGTTTTTTCCGTGATATCCGCCGTGCAGTGCGGCAGGACGACGGCGTGTACGTGGAGTATGATCTGGATGACGAGGATGAGGACTGGCTGGAGGTGCTCAACCAGAACAGATTGCTGCTCGCCGCAGACAGGTACTGTGCGGTGCAGTGCGGTACAACGAGGTGCAGCTTGGGTATAATGCGGTGCAGTGCGGCAGGACGACGGCGTGTACGTGGATCAAATCTCCAGGACAAGGATGAGGACTGGCTGGAAGTCCTCAACCAGAACAGACTGCTGCTCGCTGTAGACAGGTACGGTGCGGTTGTGTTTTAAACGTGAGGGGTATAATGCGATGCTGTCACAAGAAGCACCTGACATAGCGTGTGTTTTCTTCCCCCCACTGCATGCTCCCTCGTGGCCTTCTCTCATGCCTCAGTTTTAACGCATGCCACGTCATCCTCCCATGCCACGTCATCAGGCTGGAGTGGATGATATACCAGATGGAGCTCCTGGATGCGCGGGCGAGGGCCAAGGCGGGGACGGCCATGCTGGCAGGCGCGGAGCAGGCGGGTGTATCTGGGCAGGTGTCATCTGGGGGAGTGCGAGTGCCCGTCCTGCTGCAGCAGCAACAAGCCATTGATGTGAGTGCCCGTGCCGCTGTACTCGTTTAGGCAAGCCCGTTGTTGTGTTTGGAGTTGCACGTAATGTATCTCGCATTTGTTTCTTCCTTGGTTTGTTTGCTTTTGAGATCATTCAAGTGCGTGCGAGGCAAGCTGCGTTCTGGCTCGACCAAGAAGCCGTGTTTCTATCTCTGATTAATGAGCAGGCGTGGAGAGAGCACAAGTACTAAGGCAAGCCATCATTGCTGCAGTGTAAGACTCTTGGCGGTCCAAGAGGGGGAGGTGGGGGGAGCCCATTCTGCGACACAGCACGGCACATGCTCAATGTGCACTTCCCTTCCTTGGTGCTAGTGCCAAGGCAAGCCATTATCGCTGCAGTATACGACTACTGGCGGTCCAAGAGGGAGCGGTGGGGGAAACCCATCTTGTGATGCAATTCAGAACATGTGTCTCTCTTCCCTTCCGGCTGCATGTGCATCGGCAGGCGTTGAGAGCGCAGGTACCAAGGCAGGCCATCATCGCTGCAGTGTACGACTACTGGCGGTCTAAGAGGGAGCGGTGGGGGAAACCCATTCTGAGGCGCCTGCAGCCTTCGCCTGCCATCACGGACACCAACCCATTCAACGTTTTCCGACCGAGAGAGAGGGCTCACCGGCCCAACACACGGCGGGTAGGTTTGAGCTAAGGTTGTCCACTCAACACGCATCACATGCCAGACAGCAACCCCCTGAACGTGTTCTGACTCTTGAGACGTGTACAAATTGACATTGCCGTGTTGAGAGCGTGCTTTCAATCTCATCCCCCTTGTGCCGAGCGTGCAGATGCAGCGGAGGGAGAATGACATGGCATCGTATGAGAAGCTCGTGCGGGTGTGTCTTACTTCCCTGTCACTGTGATGCCGTACCATACTCGTCCCGATGATTCAAATGATGTGTTGCCGATCGATGGGCTTTTTGTGCCCTAGAAACGTCTCTGCCGCACCTTCAATGTTGAGCCTTTGATTCCCTTCCATGCCTTACAGTCTCTTTTTGGCATTCCGTTTTTCATTCATCCCCTTTTGTAGCAGGTCCAGAAGAACATTGAAGATGCCTTGCAACTGGCACAGGCTGTTGAGAGAGTGAGTGCAGATTCGCGCTGGCTCTCTCACCCTGCTCTGCCTCCCAATTTTGCTGGTTCACCACTCTCTCACCCTGCTCTGCCTCCCAATTTTGCTGGTTCACCACTCTCTCACCCTGCCTGCTCTGCCTCCCAATTTTGCTGCTTCACCACTCTCTCCTTCGGAGCTTCAGGCTCTCACCACCGTCGACCCATTCTCCCTCACCCATTCTCCCTCGCCCATTCTTCCTCTGCGTCTCATGCCTTGATCTCCGGGTGCATCCATGTTTCTCGTCTCCGTTGGTTCCATTGACGCCTTGACGCTTGGATGCAGAGGGAGGAGAGGAAGCGTGAGCTAATCAACTGTGAAGTGGCTTTGCAACAAGCAGCGCTCTCAGAGCGGGTAAGTGGAGTCTGTGTGTGTATCTGTAGTGTAGCAATACGCGTTATAAGCAGTAATCCTTTGTCAATTGGCTTTCAAGCAAGGAAGCAGCACTTCGCTAAAGCTCTCAAAGTGGGTGCGTATGGGAGTCTGAGAGAGCAGCACCTAGGCGCATGCATGCGGGCATGGGGAGTCCGAGAAAGCACTAACTACTTGAGTGCCATGGCTGTATGGGTATGGGTGCATGCTTCCGTCCTCCCATCTGCACATCTATCTGTCCATCCATGCATGACACATCATGGATACGTGATGCATGCATAGCTCTTACTGATTTTTTTGCAGTCCCAACGGGTTAGGATCACCAGCTAGCAGATGACATTTTACTGTCCTTTTTTTTTGTGCCGTTAGCAAGGCCAAGGTTTTGAATCGATCCGCAGGTGCATCACTATGTGTTATGAGCATGTGTTTACATACGACATTGTTCTCTGTATGTGTTCACATTCCATGTCGTCATTCTCCAGGACATCACGGTGCAGCAAGCAGAGGCCCTTGGGATCATCCCAGACCTCTCCTCCTCGATCCCCAAGCCTTTCCCTGGAGCCACATCAGACGACCAGTACCACCAGCAGCAGCAGCAATACCAGCTCGTACCACCTGCTGCCGGCTCTGCCACCACCACCGGCACCATCACCGGCGCCCCTGCTTTTGTCACTCTAGGCGGCCTCCCTCCCGCGAATCACTTTGACAATATCCTCTCGGTCACACGACGCCGGGGTTCCGTCGGAGCTGCAGGGATCGCAGCATCAGGACCCGGATCAGCAGTGGCGGGGCTGTGGACGACACCCGGAGCAGCAGCAGGAGCAGCAGGAGGAGCAGGAGGCTGGGCTGGGTGGTTACCAGACACGCCGACTGTAACCTCCGGGCCGGTAACCGATGCAGTGTCGCCTCTAGACCATCTTCTCCCGTTGCTGAAGAAAAAGAGGCGCCGGCAGGTGGTGTTTCCGCGAGGAGGCAGGCTCAGTCGCGTGCTTCGTAGCACCCCTCCCCCCGACATCCCCATGCCATTCACCCGCTCTCTGTCCCTCGAGCAGCTTGCTGCCATGCATATTCAGCCGCCTCTGCTCTCCCACCGCCCCCCTCCGGTGTGCCTCTGGGATTCTCCTGATTCCTTCTGTCTTCCTCCGTTGGGTTTATCTGGGTTGGGAGGGAGGGGGGTGGTGGGGGAGAGAGGGGTGTTAGGGGGGAGAGGGGCGGTGGGGGTGAGAGAGGAGGGTGTGGAGTTGAGGGTGCGGGGGAGGATAGGCAGAGGGGGGAGGCTGATATTCGATCGCTGGGATGTGATGGAAGGGCGGCCGCTTGTGGCGCCTGCACCTGCTGTCACTGCCATGCCTGCTGTCACTGCCATGCCTGCTGTCACTGCCGCGCCTGCTGCTGCGGCTTCAGCTGTGCCTATTGCCATGCGAGATGCAGGCGAGACTGGTCTGATTCTGAATGGTTCTATGAGGAGGAATTCAACTGCCAGTGCTCCTGCTAGGGACGTTGCTCCTCCTACAGCAACAACAGCAGGAAATGCAGATGCGTCTGTAGCTGTATCAGCAGCAGGAGGTGATGCTGCTCCTACTCCTGCTCCTACTCCTGCTCCTGCTCCTACTCCTGCTCCTACTCCTGCTCCTGCTCCTACTCCTGCTCCTGCTCCTGCTGTCCATGCCTCTCCTGCTGTCCATGCCTCTCCTGCTGTTCATGCCTCTGCACCAATCAGCAACCCTGTTCCTTCCACTGCCCCACCCTTGATTCCTCAATCAAAATCCACTGCGTCGTCTGCATCCACTGCTGCACCTGCTCGCACTTGTTTCAACACCGGTCCTGCAACCACTGCTGCTCCCGCTGCTGTGGCTCCTGCTGACACTGCTGCCACCTCCCAAGCTCCAGCAGACACCAACCACCCAAGTACCTCAGCACGTGCTGCTCTTCCGCATGCACATGCCCCTGCCCCTGCCACTTCCCCTGTTCCTACCTCTGCCCCTGCTGCTGCTGCTGCTGCTGCTGCTGTGCCTGGAACCTCTAGGCCCATGGCAAACGCCAATGCTGCAGGTATAGGGCTGAAGCCTGGGCCCAACACTAGTGGTGCTAATGGTATAGGTTCAAGGCCTTCAAGCAGTAAAACTGTTTTTCGGGTTGGCTCGTCTCAAGTTGCAGCTGATAGTAATGCAGCGGGTGTTGGAGGAGCAAGGGGTGGAGTGGGTGCCGGAGGAGTGCAGAGCGGTGTGAGGGGTGTGGGAGGAGTAAGAGGTGGAGAGGGGGGTGTAGGAGTTGCAAGGGGTGGGGTGGGTGCAGGAGGGGTTAGGGATGGTGGTGCTGGCTCAAAGGCTCCATTTCCGGGGGTGCCAGGTGTGGCTTCACCTTACATGGCACCGAAGCAGCGATCTCATGCGCAGCGGGTGGATAAAAATGTGTGAATCGAATATGCAGTGTAGCTGATGAGGCCGCTTCCTGCATTCCAGGGTAGTTTAGTTTACCTGGAGAAAGTTGGCAACATTATGTGTACAGTGTACGAATAGTGGATTGTCCAACTGGTGTTTTATGGGAAGGGATATGGAATGGAGTCATATTTGGCGAGTGATGCTGAGAAATAAGGGTGTTGTGAGTAATGGAGGGTTCAACCTCGATATTGTCACATGACTCACATCTTTCACCCCTCTTCCCTCAGTACTGGAACCCGTCTCTCTCCTCTCCATCCCAAAGATGCAACAACACACGCAACTAGCTCTGCTCATGCTTGTTAGAATCTGCTCTCGACTGGTTAGTAGTCAGCTGGAAAAAAGCGTCTCGACTAGTTAGTAGTCAGCTGGAAACAAGCGTCTCGACTAGTTAGTAGTCAGCTGGAAAAAAGCGTCTCGACTAGTTAGCAGGCAGCTGGAAAAAAGCGTCTCGACTAGTTAGTAATCAGCTGGAAAAAAGCGTCTCGACTAGTTAGTAGTCAGCTGGAAAAAAACGTCTCGACTAGTTTTGCCAGGTTATGAACCTTATCGTAGTAGATGCTGCAGAAACGTTTCGTGTTCATCATCCATTTTGGATGCTGGCCTATTGGCTGTTTTGCTGGTTTGCCAGGAGAAAAGCTTGCGACCAGGCAAGTGAGCGAAAGGTCAATTTTCTTATTGGATAAGCCAAAGTTCTGGGACAAGCGTGAAATTCAGCTGCGGTGAAGAGAGTGCAGTGAAATTCGTCAGATTAAATAACGAGACCAATGACAACAGAGGACTTTGCTCACGCTGACAATAGACGTTAGGAATGTGTCGGAATAATAATGCTCGAAGGAGGGCTAGAGGCGTGTGCGATTAGCGATAAACCCGCGACTTTTTTCGAACCGTACCCAAAGTAGCAGCGATTGCGGCAGAAGCGATGTGACAACAGCGGGAGTGATCGAGTTACGCCTGATGTGACAATAACGGGTGACGCTAGGATTCTTGACATCGTTATCGGTCAACGACGCTCGGTTGACCAGGGATAAGCAGATTCGAGCAGAGTACGCATGAGAGGATGGCGTCAGCGAAGAGGGTTGGTGACGTCAGCGGCAAGGGGGAGGAGGGTTCGCGGAAAGCCGTTTCAAAAAGGGTTTCTCCGGAAAAGGGTAGGAGGAGCGAGCGGGAATGGCCTGAGAAGGGCGGTTATGGAGCTCGACGAATGGAGAGGCGGGGAGACCGCAGCAGCAGCAGCAGCAGCAGCAGCAGCAGTGGCGGCAGCAGCAGCAGAAGTAGGAGTAGGAGCAGGAGCAGGGATAGAGTTGATAATGGTAGTAGAAAAAAGGGCAGGAGTAGAAGCAGGAGCAGCAGTAGCAGGAGCAGTAAGGGCGGAAGGAACGGCAAGGAACGGGTTAACAGCAAGAGACACAGAAGTCGAAGCAGCAGTAGTGGCAGGAGCAGCAAGGGCAGGGGTAGGAGCAGGAGCATTGATAGATACTACAGCCGGGGGAAACCGAAAGGCGGACGTGCAGGGAAGAAAATAGAAGATTCCAGCAGCAGCGACAGCAGCAGCAGGGGAAGGGGCAGGGGCAGGAGAAGGAGGAGCAGCAGCAACAGCAGCATCAGGAGCAAGGGCAGGAGCAGGAGCGGCAGCAGGGGGAGCAGCAGGAAGAGCGGTTGGAGTAGAAGCAGCAGTGGGAGCGAGGAGGAGGAGGAGGAGGAGGAGGAGGAGGAGGAGGAGGAGGAGGAGGAGGAGGAGGAGGAGGAGGAGGATAGACGTAGGCCCAGGGACTTAACTGCCCTCAGAAGGAAGAGAGAAGGCGAGAGGAAAGAAGGGGCAAGGGAACGGGGAAAGGAGCACTCAGGGCTTGCTGCTGGTTCGTTGAATCTAGACTTGGAGACTCGACGGGGGTCGTCGGAAAGGGGAGAAGGAAGGGTGTTGGGAGTGAGGGAGAAGGAGAAGGAGAAGGAGAGGGAGGGGATTGTTGGGAGGAGAGAAGGTGGCAAGAGCAGGAGGGATGGAGTGAGGGAGGGGAGAGGAGAGGGGAGTGTGAGGAAAGTAGGAGAGAGTGAGAAGTGGGATGGGGAGAGGGAGAGGAGGGACAGGGAGAGGGAGATTAGGGACGGCGACAGGGGAAGAAGGGAGGACGAGAGGAGGGGACGGGAAAGAGAGCGGGACAAGAAGAGAGATGTTTCGAGGGAGGCAATAAAGATTGTTGATGTGAGGGATATAATTGCTTCGTCTTTGCAGGGAATAGACAGGCAAAAGGAGGTGGTAGTTAGGGATAGTTGTAGGCGAGGGGCGATTAGGGGAGGGGAAAGCAGAGGAGGGGCGGAAAGAAGGGTGGGAGCGGGAGAGGAGGGAGGAGCGAGCAGAGGCGGGAAGGGCAGAGAAGGGTTGGGAAGAGAAGGGCGCGTGGGAGGGGAATCAGCAGAGCGGGATTATAGAAGCAGTGGCACGTTTAAGTCACCTGGAGGGCACACAGGGCGTGACTGTGATAGCAGCAACAGGGATGGGAGAAGGCGCGGAGATGAGAGAGAAGGGGGCAGTTTGAGAGAGGTGGGCTATGATGAGGAAGGTAGGAGGAGACATATGTTTGAAGAAAAGCGGTTTGGAGAAAGGGGGTTTAAAGAGAAGCGGTTTGGCGAAAGGGGGTTTGAAGAGAAGCGGTTTGGCGAAAGCAGCAGAGGGCACAAGGAGGAGAGGAGTCAGGGTGGGGTTAGGGGTGTGTTGTCGCCGCAGGAAAGGATTTTTGAGGCGCCTCAAAAACCGCAGGAGAGCAATCTGGGAGGGTCATCTGGGCGGCAGTATGATGGGAGGAGGGGAGAAGAGAGAAGGGAATGGAGGGTGGAGGAGCAGGATCGGTGGAAGCTTGGAGATGAAAGGGTGGATGTGAGAAGGGAGAAGGGGGGGGGGGAAGAGAAGGGGAGTGAGGAGGGTGTGGGAGGAGAGAGGGGAAGGGAGGAGGCCGGGGGTAAAGAGAGGGGAAGAGTGGATGGTGGAGGAAAAGAAATGGGAAATGAGGAGGGTGGGGGAAGAGAGAGAGGAAGAGAGGAAGGCAGCAGGCTTATGCATGGTCGAGATAGTGGAAAACTGAGGGGACGTTCGTTGGAGGACGAGGAAAGGGGGCGTTCTTTGGAAGGAGAAGAGAGGGGAGGGGATGGAGATGGGGAGAGGAGGAGGGCTCGAGACGAGGGAGAGAGGGAAGAGAGAACAGCAGGTAGAACCTCCAGAGGCAGCGAAGGGGAAAGGAGGCCCTTTGCTTCATTCCAAGAGGGGGACAGGAGGCCGTTCCAGTCACCTCAGGAGGCGGAAAGGAGGACTTTTCAGCCACCTCAAGAGGGGGAGCGGAAGAGGTACCAGTCACCTGAAGAGGGGGATAGGAGGTCGGGAAGGGCGTGGAACCCTGGAGAGACAGGGGGAGGTGGGGTGTTTCAAAAAGGGCAATGGGTGGGGCGGGAAGAGGGGAGGGGGGATAGGGAGGCGGGGGTGGGAGGAGGCTCAGGAGGGCATTATGCAGGGAGGGAGGACAGGTGGAGGATTAGGGAAATGGAGGAGTGGGGCTATGGTGGTGGTGGTGGTAGAAGCAGGGGATTCGGACAGGGTAGGGGTGACGGGGGTCGTGATGGGGGTGGTAGATGGATGGACAGGAGAGGGGGTCGGGGAGGGCGTGGGTGGGGAGAGCGAGGGGGAGGGAGGTTTGAGGGTCCTTCTTGCACTGCTTTCCCTCATAGTGCCATGGCGCTAGGTGTGTCTCGTGATGCTGCCATGCCTAGTGGCCTTCAAGACAGGAGCACGGCTGCAGGGGGGGAGAGGGGAGGGGCAGAGAGGAGTGGAGCAGAGAGGGGAGGGACGGCTAGTAACCCGATTTCTAAGAGTGAACCGACGTGGGAAGACAATTCGTTTGAAGGCACCACGACCTTTCTCGATGCTCCTCCTGGGTTCGGCCCTCCTGCTTTCATCGCAGCTGCTTATAAGAGGGCGTCAGGTGGAGAGGCCACACCAGAGGCAGGCGCTGGGAAGCTAGTGGGAGCAGCAGCAGGTGGTGCAAGTGAGAGAGGAGAGAAAGTGCATGCAGCTAAGGTGTGTGCAGCAGAGGAAGGGGGAGCACAGATGAGAATAGAGATGCAAGGAGGGGCAGGTGGAGAGGCAGGAGCAGGGATGGGAGGAGCGATGGGTGCAGGGGCGGGAGGAGAGGGGTATGCGGTGGGGATGGGTGCGGAGGAGTGTGATGCGTGGTGCCTTCTGGATGAGGCGCTGGGGGCAACAAGTGGGCCTTTTCCCTTCAGTCATGTTCAGCAGCAGTTTGCAACAGGGTGAGTGTTTTCAGTCACGTTTTCAGTCACGTTTTCAGTCACGTTCTCAGTCACGTTCTCAGTCACATTTTCAGCCAATTTAAACACCAGTTGGCAGCTTTGTGAGAAAATATGTGCCTTGTTGATCCAAGGTGCATGATTTGGCTGTTTTTCCTTTCTCCCTTCCGTTTTCCTGCTTTCTTCCCTACCCTCTTCTTATACCACCATCTTCATTCGTCCTTCCACCCCTGCAACCGAATCACCCGTAGGGAGCTACCAGATCATATCCTGGCCTACCCAGAAGGCTCGGATGCCGAGCCTATGCCGCTGGCTCGGGTGCTGAATTGGGAAGCTTCTGTGCTGCTTCACTTTGGAGTGTCCCTTCCTTCCGACTCCTTGCTTTCAGCATCTCAGCAGCAGCAACAGCAGCAGCAGCAGCAGCAGCAGCAGCAACAGCCACAGCCGGAGCAGCAGATTATCATGCCTGCGGTTTCTGGAGCAGGTAGAGGAATGGAAGGGGCATCAGGACAAGGAGAGGGACAAGAAGGGAGGGAAGCTTTGATTGCTCAACCTGGTGCTGCCGTTGCTTCTGTTTCTCCTCCTGCCGCTGTTACCAACACAGATATCGCTGTTGGAAATGCGGCGAGGGGTACAGGGGAGGAAGGCCAGAAGGGGATGGAGGCAAAGGAACGAGAGGATGAGGAGAGTGGGTTGTTTTGGACGTATCTGGGAGAAGACAAGGCACCCAAGGGCCCGTTCTCTATTGTGATGCTGAGATGGTGGCTGCAGTGTGGGCATCTCATGCCCAGCCTCATGGTATGTAAAATGTGGTTTCTATGATGTGGTTTCTATGATGTGGTTTCTATTATGTGGTTTCTATGATGTGGTTTCTATGATGTGGTTTCTATGATGTGGTTTCTATGATGTGGTTTCTATGATGTGGTTTCTATGATGTGGTTTCTATGATGTGGTTTCTATGATGTGGTTTCTATGATGTGGTTTCTATGATGTGGTTCATGCGATGATGTGGTTTGTGGCATGGTGTGGTTCATGGCATGGTGCGATGCATTTTGCACCCTGCATGATACATCTCCCTGTGGCACCTCAACAATTGCTCAGTCTTGCACTCTCTCTGTCTTGCCTGTCTCACCCCACACCCCACTCAGTTGTCAGACATTCGCAACATGCACACTCCTCCCATCTCCCTGGGGGTTCTGTTGGGAAGTCACCCATCTAAGCCACAACAGCAGCAGCAGCAGCAGCAGCAGCAGCAGCAGCAGCAGCAGCAGCAGCAGCAGCAGCAGCAGCAGCAGCAGCAGCAGCAGCAGCAGCAGCAGCAGCAGCAGCAGCAGCAGCAGCAGCAGCAGCAGCAGCAGCAGCAGCAGCAGCAGCATCATCAGCAGCAACAACAGCAGCAACAGCAGCAGCACCAGCAACAACAGCAGCAACAACAACACCAGCTGCTCCCTTCCTCCACCCCTCCCTCCCTCGACGTCCTCTTTTCCACCTCACTCTCTCTCGTCCGCACACGTCTGCATACCCTAGTGCTGCATTCCTTGCACTGCCCCTCCTTCCTCAACGCGGCTGTTGGTCCCCACCTCACCTCTGCTCTCGCTAACCGTGCCTCTGTGCTCTCACCCGGTCAAGGCGCTCCTGTTTCCCCTGCTGCTCCTGCTGCTGGTGCTGCCACTGCTTCTGCAGCTGCTCCGTCTAGTGCTGCTGCTGCTGCTGCCGGTGATGGTGTCACTGCTGTTCCTGCTGGTGCGGCTGGTGCTGGTGCTGTTCGTGGTGGTGGGGATATTAATCCTGCCGCCTTTCCCCCTGCGGCTGCTGCTGCTGCTTCGGCTGCTGCTGCTGGTACTTCTGCTGTTGCCTCTCCGCCGTCTCTTCATGACCCTCGTGCCTCCAATCTTGTAGGAGACTGGAGGACGAGGGTTGAAAGAGAGTGGGGGGCAGCAGGAGAGGCAGAGCAGGATAGAAAACCACTGGAATTACACAAGAGAGGCATGGGAAAAGGGGCAAGGATGGAAGGATCTAGGGATGAATCACAGGGACGAGAGGAGGAGGTGGAGGGGCATGAGGGGGTGAAGGGGCATGATGGGACTAGGGATCCAAAGCTGTTATTTGAAGAAATGGATTTCGATGCACTGCCGCCTATTCGAGCAAAGAAACTGCCGACACCCCCACCGTCACCATCCCCCCCACGCCTACCACCAGTATCATCACCATCACTACCACCACCACTCCCGATTCCTCCTTCCCAATCGTTCAAGGTCCCTCCTTTTTCCCATCCTCCTTTTCAGCCTCCTCTCCATCCTCTCCCTTCATCCCTCCCTGTGCCGCGTCCCCCTCCTCTTCCTCACTCCCCTCCTCCCACTCTCCCTCACTCCCCTCCTCACCACCTTTACTCACCCCCTCCCATCCTCCCGCACTCCCCTCCACCGCTCTCTTCTGCGTTGAATCTTCTGCAGTCCTCTTCCCGGGGTTCAGAGTGGGGGAGGAGGGTTGCAGCTTTAGCAGAAGCCACCACTGCTAGACTGGCTTCAGCTGAAGGTCGGAGACACAAGAAGCTTGAGAAGGAGCAAGCGCAAGAGCGAGAGCAGGAGCAAGGGCAAGAGGGTCAGCATGAGCAGAGGGAACAGCAGCAGATGCTGCAGCAGCACCAGCAGCATGAGCATCTTCAGAGAGGAATCGAAGCTGACTTTGAGACTTCGGGACCCCCTGGGTTTGAGAGGTCTAGAGATTCAGTACCTCCGGGTTTTCAGCTGAGAAGAACCGATGGGGAAGGGCAGGGAAAAGGAGGGGCGGGGAGGAGGGAGGAGGGGTGGGTGAGGTCTGAGGAAAGAGAGGAGAGAGAAAATGTGGATGAGGCAAGGTATGTGGAGGAGGGAGGAAAAGAGATTGTGAAGGAACAAGAGATTGTGAAGGAACAAGAGATTGTGAAGGAACAAGAGATTGTGAAGGAACAAGAGATTGTGAAGGAACAAGAGATTGTGAAGGAACAAGAGATTGTGAAGGAACAAGAGATGAGAAAAGATGTGGAGTTACGGAAGGGTCAGGAGGGCAGAGGGCAAAGTGACAGGAGGGAGGAGGAGAGACACGGAGGAAGCAAGGATCGAGGGAAGCTAGAAAGTGGGGGAAAAGGGGATGAGGAAGAAGAGGAGGAGCAGGAGCGTGATTGGAAGGGCTTTAAGTCTGCTCGCTGTGAATCTGGTGAGGGAGTTGGAGGGGTGACAAGTTTTGAGTCGACTAAAAAATATGGTGTGGCAGGTGGAGTGGCGACAGAAGCACGGGGTGTGTGTGAGTGGAGTGGGAGTGGGATCAGGAGTGGGATTGGAAGTGGGAGTGGTGGAGAAACGGGTAAAGCACTGACTGGAACAGGGGGAGTGAGTGCGCCTGTAGCTGGAGTGAGTGTAACGGGTGGGATACTGACAGGGTTGCAGTTGCTGATGGGAGGAGGAAAGGCGGGAGGAGGGGGTATCGGGGGTGGTGGGGAAGGAAAGGAGGTTGTTGGAGATGAAGGAGGAGAACGGAAAGGGGCTGGGGAAAGAAAAGAGGAGGCAGGAGAAGGAGGAGGAGAAGCAGGAGGAGGAGGAAGGAAGGGAGGTGCGGAGGAGCAGAAGGGGAGTGTGGGGATGAGGGCAGTGGAGGGGGGAGCAGACAGAAATGGTGCTGGGAGTGTTGCTGAGAGTAGTGGTGAGAGCGACGGGGATGATAAGGTAGAGGGAGGTAGAGTGAGAGAGAAGGATGGAGGCGGTGAGATGGTTGGAGTGTTGGGTGGGGAAAGAGAGAGAACTTCAGGCGAAATTGATGGGAGGAAGGAGAAAGGGGAAGGAGAAAGGGAAGACGTGGAGGAAGAAGGGCAGCAGGAAAGAGAGGAGAGGGAGAGGGAGAGGGAGAGGGGAAGGAAGAGGGAAAGAGAGAGGGAAAGGGAGAGGGAGAGGGAGAGGGAAAGGGAGAGGCAGACGGAGGGTGAGAGTGACAGTGGGTTGGAAGACGTACCTCTTGCAAAGAGACTGGTTCAGGGAGCAGGGGGGAAAGGGCGTTCTGATGGGGGAGGAGTGGTGAAGGGGAAGAGAGGCGGCGTTGAGATGGGAGGAGGAGTGGAAGGGCGAAGGAGACATGTTGAGGAGAAGAAGGTGCAAAAGGCGGAGGAAAGAGAGGAGGAAGGGGAAGGGGGACAGGATCCCTGGTCACTTGGGGGTAGTCAGCAGCGTGATGGTGATGCTGCTGCTACTGCTCGTAGTCATGGGGATGCGGATACTGCTGCTGCTAGTGCTGCTGATGCTGCTGCTGCTGCTGTTGCTGATGATGCTGATGTGCCTGCTGCTTCTGAAGCTGCTTCTGCTTCTACTGATGCTGCTAACAAAGATGTGACTCCTGATGCTGCTAACAAAGATGTGACTCCTGATGCTCCTGCTTCTGCTAGTGCGAATGTTGCTGCTGCTGCTGCCGCTGTTGCTGCTGCTGATGCTGCTGCTGACGCTGATGCCCCTGGCAGTGATGTAACTCCTGAGGACTTAAATGCCGACAGCACTGCCAGTGGCGACATTGGTGGTGACGCAGCAGGAGTCACATCACCGACAGCACTTAAAGCCTCCGAAGGTTCAATCGCAGAGGAGATAAACACAGGGCAGTCCCTGTCAAGACAAGGCCTCTCTCCAAGACATGGCCCCTCTCTTAGACACGGCCTCTTCCCATCATACCACAATAATGTTGGGGAGTTGTTGAGTCGAGGTACGGATCAGGACTTAGTCGAATCAAACCAGCAAGCCTCAGAAGGCGGGAACCAAAAGGTCTCCTCTCACGGTCGCATAAATGGGCAGATTATCGCAGATTTGCATGATGGCATTGCTGTGAGGGATAGGGATGGGGTTCGCCGAGGATTGACTGGGTATGCGGGGAGGGAGGATGGTAGTAGGGATGGTTTGAGTGGGGAGGAAGGAAGGGAGAGTGACTGGGGCGGAGGTAAAGCAAGTGCAGGCGAGAGGGGTGTGAGCGGGAGGAGGAGTGCAGATGTGAAAGGGAAAGGTGAGGAGATAGAGGTTGAGACTCCCCAGCCCCTGTCAGCCCTCCAGACACTGCTAAGTAGCAACAGCAAACCACGAGCAGCTTTTGAAACGAGTCAGAAGGTGGTGCTGGTAAGTGGCAGCAGTCGTGGTGGAGAGGTGGTGGTGAGGAATAAGGGGGAGGAAGAAGAGGAGGAGAACGAGGGCGGAGATGGAGAGGAGGAAGAGGTGGAGGAAGAGGAAGAAGAGGAGGATGAGGGAGAGGAAGAGGAAAGCGAGGAAGAGGAGGAGGAAGATGACGAGGAGGAAGTGGAGGAGAGTGAAGAGGAGGAAGGGAGTGAAGGGGAAGAGGAGGATGTGGAGAGGGAGAGAGGAAGGAGGATGACAAGGGAGGTATCAGAGGAGGACGGTGGGGAGGAGGGGACGGAGGAGAGCGAAGGGCAGGAGAAGGAGGAGCTACTATTGGGCCGATTTATGCTGAGGGTGAGTGAGTCCCAACCTTCTATCTCTCACTAGTTGGTTTTTTAGGATTAGCAGGTTGATTCTCTCCTTGCCGCGTTTCCTACCTTTACCGTAAACCCTAAACCCCAACCCTTGCAGGCACTAAGGGCGTGGCACCATTTTACTTTTTGGCGGTTTGAACCGTTGGTGAAAAGGGTTTCCAAGCAGCGACGAGTGGAGGGAGGTGTCGTTGTCTCTCAGCTGCAGGAGTTTCTATGTGCCTACCTCACTCTCCTCACCTCTCTCTCTAGCTCTAGTTTTGAGACGTCTCAAAACTAGTTTCTATGTGCCTACCTCACTCTCCTCACCTCTCTCTCTAGCTCTAGTTTTGAGACGTCTCAAGACTAGTTTCTATGTGCCTACCTCACTCTCCTCACCTCTCTCTCTAGCTCTAGTTTTGAGACGTCTCAAAACTAGGTTTCTATGTGCCTACCTCACTCTCCTCACCTCTCTCTCTAGCTCTCTCAGTGCCTCTTTTCCTGCCCCCCTCCTGCAGGCACTAAGCAGCGGCCAGTGGAGGGAGGTGTCGTTGTCTCTCAACCGCCCGCCTTCCGCTCACTCACAGCAGCCCCCTCTCCCTCTATCGCACCTCCCACAAGCACACCCCCCTCTCCCTCTTCCTCCGTCGCACCTCCCACGTTCCACATCCATCCTCCGGCACTCCTCCCCCTCCTTCACCCCCTCGATCCGCCTCGTCTCTTGGGCCAACGCAGCTCACCGCCTCTCCTTCCGCTCTGCGCTTCAAACCGAAGCTGCAGCTTTGGCAGCAGAAGGGCTGGATTCCGAGCCTACACATGCGGCTCCGCCGAAGGTTCGGCATGTGGCTCGGCAGTCTGTGCAGGTTCCGGCCCAGCTTCTCGAACCTAAGCTGCTTTCGGGGAGTCAGCAGGACGAACCGAAGTTGAGACAAGGGGAAAAAGGAGCGCATGGAGTGGATCGTGCTTTGATGTGCGTTGAAACGAAACGAGGCCAGGTGGGTGGTGCTGCAGCTGAGACGACTCAAAAGCCATTTAAAGAGGAGCACTTGCTGAATAAAGGTGTTGTATCTGACCGGAACGCATCAAAACAAGGCTTGGGTATGAATCGAAATCACGGGGAAGCCATGCAAAGAGCTGATTCCAGTCATGGGGCAATGGGTGCTGCGGCTGCTGTTGCATTGGGGAGGAGAGAAAACGCAGGAGGGAGGGAGAAAGGGTCATGCGAAGGGGCAGGAGTGAGGGAGGAGAAGGTTAGAGATCCGTTGTTGAGAAGCATTGAGAAGGGAAGGGAAGATGAGACTGGGGAGTTAAGGGGAAGTCCTTTAGGAAAGGTTAAGAAAGACAGGGGGGAGGAGAAGGAGGAGGGGAAAGTGGAGGAAGAAGAGGAAGAGGAGGAAGAGGAGGAAGATGGTGAGGAACGAAGGGCAGGTGCAGTTGGAGGTAGGGAGGTGGGAGGGGAGAAGAGGGAGGAGGACAGAGGGGAGAAAAGGAAGGAGGGAGGGAAGGAAAGGGAGGAAGTGGGAGGGGAGAAAAAAGAGAAAGTGGGAGGGCAGAAAAAAGAGAAAGTGGGAGGAGAGATCACGGAGGAGAAGGGGGTTGAGAAGCACTCTGACTCGAATAAAACCGATGCTTTGTTAAGTGCTCGAAAAGGATCAGATGCGAAAGCTAGGAAGGTCGGAGTGTACAAGGGTAGCTATTTGGATTGGGGTGTGGGGGGGAGCGGAAGCGGAAGCAGGGAGATGGGTACTAAAACTGTTAGTGGGGATGGCCTGGCCAGCGGTGGTGTGGGGATGGGTGGTGTGGGGATGGGTGGTGTGGGGATGGGTCACGTTGGTGTGGTTGGGGAGAGAAGTGCAGGGGCTGCTCTGGTGAAGGTGCAGGGTGATGGGAAGAGTGCTTTTATGGCTGCTTTTGAGCAGCGATTGCAGGCGGAGTTTCAGGCAATGAGAAGCGGTGGGCAGGGTATGGGACATGTGGTGGGTGAAGCGGGAGAGAGGATAATTACAGAGATTGGGGGAGGGGAAGGTGAGAGGGAAGGGGATGGGAAATGCGGGGAGAAGCGAGAGGAGAGAGTAGAGGAGAGGCGGAAAGGAGGAGTGAAGAGCGGCGGTATGGGCAGATGGGGCCCTTCTTATCATCACATGGATCAGAGTGCTTATAGGCAGGGTTGTAGTGCAGAGAGGGATGTGGTTGTAGGGAGGGGCAAGGAGGAGGGGAGAGGCGAGCAAAGGGAGAAGCGGGAGCAAATTCCAGAAAGCGGGAGAGGCGGGGAACTGCAGTCAGGTGTTGCTTCACACAGAAAGGACGATTGGCGGGAGGAGTGGGTGAGAAGGAAGATGAGACAGACACAGATGGAGGTTGAAAAAGAGCGGGAGAGGGAGAGAGAACGAGAGAAGAGGAGAGCGAGGGACGGAGGAGGTGAGGAGAAGGGCAAGCATATGAGGAGGAAGGAGAAGAAGAGAAGCAAGAGTAGGCGATTTGCAGAATGGTCGTCTGATGAGTGGATGGGAGCAGATGAGGGAGAGGAGAGGGGAGAGGAAGGGAGGTCCGGTGCAGGTGTATTTGCTAAGAGAGGGGGTGATTGGGAGGGGAAGAGAGAGCATGAGAGAGAGCAGGAGGAGGGGAGTGAGAGTGATTCAAGAGGTGAGAGTAGGGGGACGAAGAAATGGAAGAAGAAAAAGAAGAGAAGGAAGGGTGATGGGGAAGAGGGGGGTGGTAGTGGGGGCGAAGAAAGAGAAAGAGACAAGGAGGAGAAGGGCGAAGCCAGCTGGCACGTTCCTATTGGCACGGAGCGCCAGCTCATGCGATACCTTCAGAAAGCTTCAGCTGGCTCAATGCATGGCTCGGGAGCTGGTGCTGCTTCTGCCACTGCCGCTGCTTCTGCCACTGCCGCTGCTTCTGCCGCTGCCGCTGCTGCTGCGTCTAGAAAGTCAAAGTCGTTTGAATTGGTTCCGGTCCCACATGCAGCTGGAGCGAGGAGAAAGAAAAAGTCTGCTGGTGTACATTCAGTTGCAGCGAGGACGGAGAGGCAGCTTATTCTGGCTACCAGGCAGGCGGAGGAGCAACCAGGTGGGCTGCAGGGTCAAGGGAGTGGGGAGGAGGAGGAAGAGGTGGAGAGGGATGAGGAAGAGGCGGAACATGAGGAGGAAAAATTTGCGATGAGGGATGAGGAAGATGGGAAGAGAGAGGAAGGAGATGGTTTTGAGAGGGAGCTGGAAGGGAGGGTTTCTGTGCCGGGTGATGGTCATGGGGAGGGTGCGGCGGGGATGCATTGGGGAATGGAGGAAGAGGACGAAGAGGAGGAGAGGAGGAAAAGGTTGAAGAAACGGAAGCTTGATGAGGGGATTTGGGAAGAGAGGCAGGAGAGGAAAGGGAGGAGGGAGCAGGAGAAGAGGGAGAAGAGAGAGAAGAGGGAGAGGAGAGAGAAGGAGAAGCGGGAAAGGGAGAGGAAGCGGAGGGAGAGATCGTCGTGTGCTCGTGTGGAGTGGGGCGGATGGGAGTGGAGAGAACACGTGAAGCAAATCGCTCAGAAAGAGGCTCTAAAGCAACGAGCCGAGGCGTACTATAAAGGGGATAGAGGCGAGGGCGCGAGAGAATGGGAAGCAGAGGGCACAGGGCTGGGCGCAGGGGCGTCCATGCGCACTCCCCGCATGCTCTCCCGGGCAAATCTCTCCCAAGCTAGTATTTCGAGAGGGCCTGGCAGCAGGACACAGAGAGAGGGGTCTCTTGCCGTGCTTGCTTCTGCTGGGAATGGCGGAGTGGGCTTGCTTGGGGGAGGAGGAGGAGCAGCAGCAGGGGAGGAAGCATGGGAGGGAATGGGTGCGGGCAATAGCATGGGGAGTGGTGCCCTCACACTAATCGGCAGTGCAAGGAGCAGCAGGGCGCTACTGAGGCAGCTAGCGGTGGGTTCAGAGGGGTTGGAAGGGGTGAGGTTCAAGCAACTGAAGGGGAGAAAGAAGAATCTGAAGCTGGTGAGGAGCCGGATACACGGGTGGGGGCTGCTGTCTCTGGAGCGGATCGAAGCAGGGGACTTTATCATCGAGTATACCGGCACCATCATCCGCCGATCGGTGAGTGCGCTGGGAGAGTGGGCAAAGAATAGGCAAGTGCTGCTGAGACGTTTGGAAGAATCTGAAGCTGGTGAGGAGTCGGATACACGGGTGGGGGCTGCTGTCTCTGGAGCGAATCGAAGCTGGAGATTTTATCATCGAGTATACCGGCACCATCATCCGCCGATCGGTGAGTGCTTCAAACGTTGGAAGGCTGGAAGGTTAAAAGGAGCTGGATACATGGGTGGGGGGGCTGCTGTCTCTGGAAAGAATCGAAGCAGGGGAATTCATCATCGAGTATACTGGCACTATCATCCGCCAATCGGTGAATGTTGCATTTGAAAGGTTGGTTGCATCCCCAACGCTGTCGCACTCACTCAGCGGGTGTCGGGATGCGAGAGAGTAGCATCAACTACCCTGTAACCATGCAACTGTATGGTGAACTCACACCACCTTCCCTCCCCAACGCACACACTCTTGCCGCCTCTCACCCACTCACACGCTCACTCACCAGGTGTCGGAGGTGCGAGAAAGGATGTATGAGGCCGATGGCATTGGCAGCAGCTACTTGTTTCGCGTGGACGAAGACGTGGTGGTGAGTCATTTGTTGCTTGTGCTGCTGTGGTCGAAGGATGTGATGGTGGTGCCATGCCATGGGAGGTTAGGAAAATATCTTCTCTGAAGCAGTGACGATAGAAGCAAGCAGCTACGCGGATCTCCATTCTGGAAATTGGAGTAAACGGATTATAGCTGCTCAGAGCAGCTTCCTTTAATCGTGCATCTTCCTCTACCTGCTCTTCTGATCCCCAATTGCATCTCCCTCTACCTGCTCTTCTGATCCCCAATTGCATCTTCCTCTACCTGCTCTTCTGATCCCCAATTGCATCTTCCTCTACCTGCTCTTCTGATCCCCAATTGCATCTCCCTCTACCTGCTCCCCTTTTTTGCGTTATCCTGCTCCCCTCTCGTACCCAATCAGGTGGATGCCACTCGCAGCGGCGGTCTCGCTCGCTTCATCAACCACTCGTGTGATGTGAGTGCAGTGATTAAACACCCATAAGGTGATACTAAGAATAATTTGATGATAGGAGATGAATGAAGTGAAGCACCAATGGCACTAATCGTCTGAAGTGATCAAGCGAAGCAAAGAGCAGCTGCGTGCTACACCCACTTCCCCCCCACCTCCCACAAGATAGCAGAGAAGCAGAAGCATGTGGTGAATCTAATCTGTGAGGGCTGTCTCCTTCCTCCCAGCCGTGCCTCTCACCCCCTTCACCCGCTCTGCCCAATCCTTTTTTCCACTCTTCCACATCCCCCCGCCCCCTCCAGCCCAACTGTTACACCAAGGTGATAGTAGCGGACGGGCAGAAGCACGTGGTGATCTACTCCAAGCGGGTGATCCAAGTGGGGGAGGAGCTCAGTTACGACTACAAGTTCCCCATTGAGGACGACGCCAAGATCCCCTGCCTCTGCTTGTCTAGAAAGTGAGTCTCGCCTCTGGCACACCTAGTGCTGCCTCGGCTTCAAGCCGATAGTTCTCAACAGTGCTCTGCTCTGCTCTACTCGTGGCTTGTGATTCAAGCGGGGGAGGAGCTCAGCTACAGCAACAAGTTCCCCATTGAAGGCGACGCTAAGATCCCCTGCCTCTGCCTCTCAAGAAAGTGAGTGCCCTGTGGTTTGCCCCTCACCGTTGCTCCCACATATCTGGTCATTGCCTGCACACCACTCGAGAGCGAGAGGAGCTGAGCTACGACTACAAGATCTCCATTGATGGTGGTTCTACTTTTGGTGTGAACCGTGAACCTTTGATTAGTTTGTCTTTCTGATTGCTCCCAAGGGTCCTTTCCTCGTTATCAACAAGTGAGTCTTTCCTCTTCCATGCCTTTCCCCTTCCGCACTTCTCTTTTAGTTTCTCCAGATGTTGAGGCTACTCACTTCTTTTCAGATCGGCTCAAAATACCCCCCCACAACCTCAACCTTCCCTCTTTTTTCTTTCCTCCAGGTGCCGAGGCTACCTCAACTGACCACTCACTCACACAGCACACGCATCTGCATCTGCATCTGCATCTGCATCTGCATCTGCATCAGCATCGGCACGATCACCACCGCCATCAGAATCGCATGCGACTGTCACCTACTTGATCCTGGAAAAGCTCAGTAAAGACTGACTCGGCAGTGAGTTTGCCATGTCCGATCGAAGAGGCAAAGCAACGGCTCCTTTATGTCTCCAGCCAGACTCAGCTTTCCCTTCGCAAGGCAACAGACCGGCCGTTTCCGGATGACCTTTTGGATCTCGTTTTTCCACAGCAGTTTTCGCAGCTACCTGCTTCCATCCGCTCTCATGCGCCACTGTTTACGGGTGCACTTTCTGAAAAGAAGCAGTATTGTATGTTGTCGTATAATTCCTGACAAGCTACACTGCAAAATACACCACTTTCCTAAGTAGTTTCGTTACGCGACCCAGCAGCCTAGCTCATCCTCAGTACAGAGAAGCACTTTAGAGCTTCTGAGGGTTCCACTGTGTATGCAGCTGCCACTCTGTAGCCATCTCTGACTTCCCAGTAATGGTGCAACTGCTTGTCGTCCCTCCATTGGAGCACATACATGCAGGGTGGCTTTGGAGAAGAGCAGATACATACAGAGATCTTCAAGCTCGACAGATTTGTCGCTACACATGCACCGGATTATGGGCGCTTATTTTATGTCAGGTGCTTCTACACTCCAATAAGCGTGTCTTCTTTTCGCCTCGGGGAACTGCTATGCAACACAGACAGCAGAGAATGATGCAGATTGCATTCCACTCTGAATATGTTTTGTCGACAAAGACAAAGAGAGGTCCTTAAAGCTGCAGCATTCGGCAACTGGAAGGGAGCTGCAATCAAGAAGACTCAAACCCTTTTCCTCAACCAGTTGTCAGAATCAACTGTGCAATAATGATTGACTAGCAAGCAAGGATGAGTACATGTCAAACTGTTATAATGATTATATTGTGTAGGCTGTAGTGGGGTAGTGTTACGAGTGCAATGGAATGAGCGAGCGAGGATTGCACTATCGAGACAAGATACAATGAGCGAAGAATTGAGCAAAGAATATATAGCGAAACTACGGTGGTAACGGTAACGTGGAAAATGGGATGCGCGACGGGCCTAGTGCCGAGGTTTGGGGAACTGTCGAGGCGGAGGTCCGGAGCGTGGGTTACCAGCCGAACCGTGAGGTTGGGTCACATCGTGAACAGTGGCGGGAATGGTGTCGAGGCGAATGTCGCGAGTGGTAACGGAATATTGTGGGGTGCTGTCAGTGTTGTACGCATTGAGCAGGGACGCGAAGGAAGGAAAAGGATTTTTCCTTACAAGTAGCCCATAAGGGGTACAACCCAATTAGGGTTAGTACTTGTACCAACTTTCTTCTCAATGCAATCATTCCCGTTCAGTACTTCGACACGGTTTCAGAGCAGGTCCTGTTCCATGACCGGTTTTTTTTTTAGGGCCCACCGTATAGTTCGCTGCCCGTAGCGCGTTACCCTGCCCGTAGCGCCCTACCCTGACCGTCGCGCTACCCCACAAGTCGTGCTGCCCTTCCCTACCCGTCGCGCCGCCCTGCTTGCCGCGCACCGCCCTGCCCTGCCCGTCGCGCCGCCCTGCTGGTCGCGCGCAGCCCTCCACTGCCCGTGTGCCGCCCTGCTGGCCGCCGCCCTACCCTGCCCTACCCGCGCGCGCCGCCCTGCTGGCCGCAGCCCTGCCCTGCCTGCGCGCCGCCCTGCTGGCCGGCCCTACTTTGACAGTACAAGTACTAGATTTGACCTAAAGTGTTGTACTCAGTAGAGGCTACCCCACTACAACCTACACATACAAATGTAATTTGACACACCCCCATAGGCAAAGTGGGGGATAGCAAACACAACGAACAGTCACAAGACCAGTCAAGCAAGAGAACAAAGCAAAGCAAAGCTCTGGGTGGAACTCAAGGACACCACACAATCCGAGCACAAGCAAGCAGCCACAAGGGCAGTTCACACGCAGAGTTATAATAGCAAGGTAGTACACTGATCACAACCTAGCAAGAGTAAACAAGCAGGTATAAAGATATATATCAGTGTACAACTAGAGCAAGTCAAGCAACCAGCAGGTGAGATAGAGTGGGCAAAAGCCCAATAGCAGTGCAGAAACACTGATGATCACCAGACCCAAGGGCCTCGGTGAACACATCAGCAGTGTTGGCCCGCGAAGCCACGTAGGAAAGGCGGAGCTGACGACGCTGCTGCAGCTCACGCGCAAGGAAGTAGCGAAGAGAAATGTGCTTCGTTCTGTGCTCCAGTCTCTGCTTGTGACACAAGGCAAGCATTGCCTTGTTGTCGACATACAGAACTAGAGGAGAACGAGGCCGCTCCCCCAAGTAGGTCAACAGGTAGGTCAGCCAGCGTAGCTCCTGTGCAGCCATGGTCCCAGCGTAGATCTCGGCCTCACAGCTGGAACTAAGCACCGAAGAAGAACGAGTGGACCTCCACGAGACAGAACCAGAGCCAAGACTGAAGGTGTAACCCTGTGACAAACGCTGAGTCGCCTGGTCGTCGGCCCAAGAAGTGTCAGAGTGTCCGGTGAGTACCACTGAACTCTGTCCTCCAAGCACGAGCCTCATGCCCAATGTACTGCACAAGTAACGCAGTACCCTCTTTGCAACATCCCAGTGCACCTTTCGGTGTCTACCGGGAGCCACGTAGCGAGCCAGAAGGCTGAGAAGGTACGCGAGGTCAGGTCGTGTGCACGTCATCAGGTACATGAGGCAACTTACAAGCTCTGGGTACGGACCACTCGGCTCTACGGACTCGTCCGAAGGTGGAGCTGAGAGCGAGTGGCCGATAGACAGAGGAGTGGGCTGAGGCGAGGAGAACTGGAAGCCGAAGCGCTGAAGGACCTGGTGCACCATGTGTGACTGAGTCAGGGTGATGGTGCACCGTGCTCTGTCCCGGGTGATCTGCAAGCCAAGATAGCTACGCGGCTCACCCAGGTCAGTGTAGATGTATCTCTCCTGCAGCTCCGCCTTCACTACGGCCAGCGCCTCAGTGTCAGCAGTAGCAAAAACCAAGTCGTCGACGTACACGAGAATGTAGAACGGCGGCAGGGTAGTGTCGGTGCGTAGAAACAGCGACGGGTCAGCAGAGGAAGGAGCAAACCCAAGAGCCGCAAGTGTAGTCCTCACTGTGTCGTGCCACTCTTGGGGCGCCTGGTGGAGACCGTAGACTGGCCGCCGGAGGCTCCACTGGGTACCCGCAGGAAACGACCCAGTGAAGCCAGGTGGGCGGCGCAGCCAGATCTCCTCGTGAAGGCTGCCCTGCAAGAAAGCTGTGGAGAAGTTGAGGGAGTGCAGCTCGTAGTTACGCTGTGTTGCAACGTGTAGCAGCACCCGAAGAGTAGTCATCTTTGGGGTGGGGGAGAAGGTCTGGAAGAATTCGACCCTCTGTCGCTGACTGAAGCCTCGAGCAACGTAACGCGCCTTGAAGGCAGGCGGAGAACCCGGCGGCCGCTTCACTATGAAAATCCACATGCCATCAACTATGTTCGCCCCAGTAGGAGGAACCTCGTCGCGGTAGGTGCCTGTGGACTTCCAGGAAGCCATCTCTGCGTCCATGGCTATCTGAGAGGAGTACTCACTCGCGATCGCCTCAGCGTAAGAGCGCGGGGTAGGGATGTCAAGGGCATCCGGGTCTCCCTCAGTGCAAAGCAGCATGGATGCGAAACAAGGTAAAGCGGCCGCAAGACACTCAAGCTCGAACTGTCTGTCCTCAAGGACGTCACTGCTAAGGGCAGGCTCACCCTCGACGGACGAAGGAAAGACAGACTCAGACTCATTAACAAGACTCGCGACGTAGTCGAGACGACTCCTAGCTGCAAAGTCGACTAGGGCAAACGCAGCAGTAGACTCAAATTCAGGGCCAGTGACGACAGTAGCAAGGAGCCGAGTGACAGTAGGACTGGTAGCACGAGCAAGGTCGGACTCAGGGTGAGGAACGTGCAGAAGAGAGGACGCAGGAGGCTCAGGCAGGAGAACACGCCATGGAACAAAGGAAGGACGAAGTGCCATACCGTGAGTGCCTGGGACAGCAGGAGGACGAGGACGGGCAACACGACGAGCACGAACAGGTGTGGAAGCACGAGTCTCAAGCTCACGACGCTCAGTCAGGGACTCAGTCACCTCAGTGTGAGGAGCAGGAGCAGGCAGCGGGGAGCCAGGCAGAAGCTGTAACTGAGACTGGTCTGTCGGTGGACACAGGAGAGGTGGAGTGAGGCCAGTGGAAGACGGGAGACTAAGAACCTAGAGAAGGGCCGAGTCAGGCGGCAGCAGGGACGACTGCGGCTGCGGGTAGAAAAACAGTCGGTGCGGGGCAGTACTAGCAGCTCGAGCTCCTCTAGCACCAGCAGCACCAGCACCTCCAGCACCAGCAGCTCCAGTAGCACCTCCAGCGCCAGCAGCACCACGAGCTTCGGTAGCGCCAGCACCTCTAGCACCAGCAGTACCTCCAGCACCTCCAATGCCAGCAGCTCCAGTAGCACCTCCAGCACCTCAAGCACCAGCAGCACCACCTGCTCCGGCAGCTCCAACACCTCTAGTATGAGCACGTCCATGACCAGCAGCTCCAGCACCTCCAGTACCTCCAGCTCCAGCGCCTCCAGCACCAGCAGTACCTCCAACACCTCCACTACTAGCAGCTTCAGTAGCACCTCCAGCAACTCTAGCACCAACAGCACCACCTGCTCCGGCAGCTCCAGCACCTCCAGTACCTACAGCACCAGCACCTCCAGTAGCACCTCCAGCACTAGCAGCACCACCAGCCCCGGCAGCTGCAGTACCTCTAGTACGAGAACCTCCAGGACCAGCAGCTCCCACAGCTCCAGCACCAGTAGCATCAGCACCTCCAGTGCCAGCAGCTCCAGTACCCCTTGCACCTCCAGCACTAACAGCACCACCAGCTCCGGCAGCTCCAGCACCTCTAGTACGAGCACCTCCAAGTCCAGCAGCTCCAGCACCTCCAGTACCTCCAGCTCCAACACCTCCAGCACCAGCAGCACATCCAGCACCTCCAGCAGCAATTGTACCTCCAGGACTAGTAGCTCCAGCTGCTCCAGCACCAGCAGCACCTCTAGTACCTCCAGCACCGCTAGCACCTCCAGCACCTCCAGCAATACCTCCAGCACCAGCTGTACCTCCAGGACTAGCAACTCCAGCACCAGCAGGACCGTACCCTCCACCACCAGGACTGCCTCGTCGAATAATCCACACACGAATCGCCTGCGGCGAGAGCGTCTCAAGTAGATCAGGCTGCGGTGGCTGTCTAGCTCCAGGACCTCCAGCAGGGTCACCCACAGCTCCACCGCCACTAGGACTCGCAGCACCCCCAGTCGCAGCACCCCCAGAACCAGCACCCCCAGTTGCAGCACCCCCAGAACCCTCACCCTCTGTCTCAACACCCCCAAGCTCAGCACCAGCAGTCTCAGCTCCAGAGTCCACAGCAGCAGGCTGCGGAGGCGGCCGAGGCGGAAAACCAGGGGGGGTCTCCAAGCAGGGAGTGCGGCGAGTGGCCGTCGTGTCGTCAGCGGTGGGGTCACCCCCCTCAGCTGAGCCGGAGGAGTCAGAAGAGATCTCCAAAGGCTCAACCAAGGGGGGTGGGTCTACCTGAGACACACCTGAGGGAGCAGGACCCTGTGGGGGGAGGGGGTCTACCGGGGGGGGGGGGGACTGGTACCAAGAAAGGAGGCGCTAGGGGGACCGGGTGGGAGGCGTGCGGGTGTAGCCTGTAGAAATAGACAGACTCGTCAAAGGTGACGTCCTAGGAGGAGAAGACTCGACGCTCGCGCGGGTGGTAGAACTGCCACGGCGGGGCATCGGTGGGGAATCCAAGGAAGACGCAGCGGAGCGTGCGAGAGGAGAGCTTGCTCGCTTTGGCATAGCGAACAAGGGAGAGCGTGCCCCAGACCCGAAACACCGACGCATCGCCAAGCTTCCCCGTCCACCGGAGTGTGGGCGAGGTCTCTGGCTCAGAGAAACGGGGCCAGAGGTTGAGCTGATGCGCTGCGTATCGGACCGCAAACGGCCACAGAAAATGGGGAGCAGCCGCATGGATCATGGAGGTACGAGCAGCCTCCATGATCAAGCCAATGCGATGCTCAGCAATCCCATTTTGCTGAGGAGAGGCCGAAAGCGTGAACGACTGGCGGATGCCCTCGTCTCGACAGAACTCCGCAAGGAGGTCAGAAGATAACTCACCGCCCCTGTCAGAGTGCAGACGCAGGACTGGAAAGTCCGGATGAAACCGCTCACGCAGCTGGCGACGGGTAGCATGAATCCAGGGGATCATAACACCGCTGACGTCCACCTTGCGCCGCAAGGGGAAGTCAGTGGTGTAGCGTGTGTAGTCTTAAACAACCAGCAGGAAGTAGCGCTCGTGGTCCGTTCCACCGACGGGGGCCGGGCCCCAAACGTCCATGTGGAGAGTCTGCAGAGGAGCAGTGGTCGGAGGAAACTCGGAGGAGTGAGGAGCGGCGCGGTGCCGCCCCTCGACGCAGGGAAGGCACGGCAGGGCAGGCGAGCGCGGGAGGGAGGGGAGGGACCTGGGAAGGCCAGAGACAAGGAGACGAGAGTGCATGCTGCGGAGACGCGGCAGCGAGGGGTGACCTAGGCGGTGGTGCCAGAGGAGTTTCTGGTGAGAGAGTACCCGACACGAGCAAGACGCTGCAAGCTGACCAGACGCAGACACCCGACTCGACGCAGCCACCTGACCTGACTTAGCCACCTGTGCAGACGCAGTGGTCAGGGTGTACAGACCGAACCCAGGCTGACGAGTGAACGTAGCAAGGTGACGGCTAGTCCGTGAGCACTTACAGATCGCCACACGTTGTCCTCCAGGAATAAAGGTGTCAACCCATTCATCCTGGAGAACTGCGTTGCTCGACAAGTTCGTCGAGAACGCGGGGAGGTGGAGACCTGAGAGAGACCCGGAGGGGACTGCCGGACACGGGAGGACAGTGGAGGCTCGCGCAACTACTGGGCCCCCAGTGGGGTCAGCCAGTGAGACTAGGACAGGTGTTGCGAGTGGTGTGACTGTGGTGCAATCACGAAAGAAGCAACTGTTAAGGCGAAGCCCTGCACGCGCCTGGTTTCGCGTGTAGCAGCCCTATGCGGAGTAGTGAGACTTTGCATACCGCATACCAGTTTTACCTGTATTGCGGTATTCACCAAGTATACTCCAATCTGTGCGCTTCGGTATGCACATTTCGACATTGGACTAGGGAAGTGACGACATTGCACAAACACGTATGTGCAACTATCAGTGTTGCAAGAACCTGCGCAACTACTCCTGGGCAGGCAGAAATAAACCTGATGGTATTTCACCTGATGGTATTTTCACCTGGCATTGCCAACATGGAACCGCATACTAGAGTAGGTGCACGTTCTCCTTGAACAACGCTCTTCATGAACAACGTTCTCGTAGAACGTTCTTGCACACATCACTATGTTTCTCTATAAGGTTCATGTTGTTTCTGTTGTAATCTATCAATCTAATCAATTAATCAGTTTCGTTCTTCAATTACTGCATACGAAGCACACTGTTATCCGAATACCAGTACCCGGTCTCCAACAAGTCCGTACACGGAAAACTTGCACCTCTCTCTCTGATCGTGCAACTCTGCGCCTAGGCTCTCCCACAATCGTCTATTCTCCGCGTCAACGTGACGCGCCTGAGTCAAGCATGAAAATGTGCAAGGCCTTAGCTGAGGCAGGACTTGTGGCAGTAGACGCCCTAGCACCTAGAGCGTCGGCTGACTCACGAGCACCTAGAGCTGCAGCAGACTCACCAGTACCTGGAGCGACAGCAGACTCACCAGTACCTGGAGCGACAGCAGACTCATTAGAACCGAGAGCAGCAGCCTCTACACGCATCGCCGAGAAGCACAGTCGCGAGGCCGCCGAGGCCACATAAAACCAAAACCTCCACCACCAGGACTACCTTGCTGAATAACCCACTCACGAAGCTGCTGAGGGGTGGGGTCGCCCGGGAGAGGCAGTGACGGTTGCTGTCCACCCCTAGCCGCTGCAACTGCCGTGATAGTGGCCATGATAGGCAGTGACGGTCAGTAGTAGGTCCAGCACCTCCAGCACCAGCAGCACCTCCAGTACTCCCAGCCGCACCTCCACCACCAGCAGTAGTAGCAGCGTGTGCAGCAGCAGCAGCGCGCTGGGCAGCAGGGCGCACTGGTTTTTTTTTTTTTTTTTTTTTTTTTTTTAATGATGATTATTATTATTTAGGGTTGCGGGGCGCGCTGGGGCTGCGGGGCGCACTGGCGCGCTAGGCTGCGGGGCGCGCTGGGCTGCGGGGCTGCTCGCGGGCAGAAGGGGCACGCATGGCAGGGGCTGCTCGCGGGCAGCAGGGGCGCTCGGGTCAGGGGCTGCTTGCGGGCAGCAGTGGCGCGCGGGGCAGGGGCTGCTCACGGGCAGCAAGGGCGCTCGGGGCAGGGGCTGCTCGCAGGCAGCAGTGGCGCGCGGGGCAGGGGCTGCTCGCGGGCAGCAGGGGCGCGCGGGGCAGGAGCTGCTCGCAGGCAGCAGGGGCGCGCGTGACAGCAGGGCAGCGCGCTAGGGCAGGCAGTGCGAGTAGCTGCAGGGTAGCGTGACACTGTGCGAGAGGGCCGGACAGCGCAAGGGCGCTTCAGGCAGGAACTAGCGGAACGATCGGTTGGTGTTAGAATATATATGTAACTGCCTGTAGCTGTAGTTAGTGTAGTTATTATAAACTTGTTGGTGGTGCACCTTCTTTGCATGCTTTGTTTTTTATTTGTACCTCGCTCCATAGTGAACTCACCCCACTCTTTGCCTAAACTCTCTCGACTCCCTTTGGCCTAGGCTACTAAGCCTAGGCCCTACTCTTACTATTCAACAGTTGGCCCTAAAAACCTAACAGGTTTCCTGCTATGAATACCATGTCAGAATCAACTGTGCAGGAATGATTGACTAGCAAGCAAGGATGAGTACAAGTACTAGATTTGACCTAAAGTGTTGTACTTAGTAGAGGCTACCCCACTACAGCCTACACATGCAAATGTAATCTGACACCAGTGTGTATAAAATTTGAGGCGTCTAGAGTTGTGCTGGCTTTCAACTTGCAAATATGTCTTGCAAGGCTTGTACATGGATGGTAGGTACGGTAGTACCGTATGTGGTAAGCTTGTGCATAATTATTCATTTATTCGTTCGTTGACACAAGAATAAACCAGCCTTTCCTAACCTAACCATTAATAAATAGCAAACTGAGATGATATTTGCACTAGCAGGGTCCATCATCAACTTCAATCTGGCTATACCTATATATTTAACTTACACATTCACAAAGGTATAATATCGTAATGCCTTTGATCAACTCAGCGTTATACCTTCCCAAGCTTGTCGTCCACATTTCAGTCCTCTCGACCCTTCCCAAAATTTCTCAACCAAAGAATATCGTCCCGGTCTCCCCGTGGGCCCTGTCATTTCGACTGTCACGTCAACATACACGCCAGCACACTCCCAGCATCTCGCTATCAAGCTACAGTGCGGCATGTCGATTCGTCGAGGACTTCTCGAGGACGTGTACAGCCCTCCGTCTCTGCTGCCACACCTCCTCCTTCACTCTTTTTCCCTTGGCGGGATTCGTTTTTGCCAAGATTCCTCCTCATCGCCTCCCCTTTGCCTAAAATCGCTGGAAATGCGTGCACGCTGTCGCTTCCTCTCTTCCCTCTGAAAGAGGGAAATGGGAGCCCTCCTTGCTAGCTTTGGATACTCCTGCCCAGATCTCTCATGAATCAAACCACCAAAGCCATGGCAGCCATTTCCGTCTCCCCTGCCGTCGGACCCTCTGCTCCTCGTGTCGCCACGGCGACGTACGCGTCTCGGACCCTGCGACTCGGTACGAGTCGTACGGATCAATTCCGCCGCGTGACGATGCGACGTGTGCACTATGCCTCCAGAATCACTCATAATGACAACCAGGAGGGTCTGGCCAGCAACAGTAGGCTCACGCAGTCGCAGAGTTCCTCTAATCCGACAGTCAAGAACGCGCCGAACACGGCGCAAAACTCGGCGCCAAATCCGACCGCCGCGGCGGAGCTTCCGCCGCCCTCATTCCACGTGGACGTGGCGATTGCGGGCGGCGGCCTCGCGGGGCTCGCGCTCGCCGCCGGCCTGCAGGCGCGCGGCGTCGAGGCGGCCGTTTCGAGGCAGCGCCCGCGCTGCGATCGAGCAACAGCACCGTCCTCGTCATCTGGCCGAACGGCGCCGCCGCGCTCGACGGAATCCTGCCCGGGTTGAGCGCTTCCGTGGCGCGACTCGGCACGCTGGTGAACCGGCGGAGGCTCTACAACCAGCGCAGGCCGGCGCAGCCGCCGCCGCCACTGTCGTCGCCTCCAGGCGGAGGGGAGGGGAGTGAAGAAGGGGGAGAAAGTGAAGTGGAGGCGGTGGATGTGATCTGTGAGGTTGTGGGTTCGAATCCTGGCGAGAAGCAATTTTGGTTGTGAGGGCGAAGGTGCTGGTGGGAGCTGACGGGGTGAGATCAGCCGTGAGGGATCAGATGATTCATGACTCGCCACGTTTTCTCAATCAGATCGCATGGAATTCGTTCCTGAGCACTCCAGTTGATGTCAGCAGTCCCACTGACGTCAGCAGCTCAGGAGAATCAAGAGAGGCTGCTGTTCCTGAATTGACGGCCCTGATTGACGAGGTGACGGGATGCAGTGCGATCTTCATCACTTTGAAGAACGGCGAGAGATTCTGGCAGGTATGGGCTGGTATGGTCCTGGGAGGTATGGTACTGGCAGGTCAGTAGTGCCAGGAACGGTTGTGGCAGGTACGGTTGTGGCAGGTACGGTTGTGGCAGGTACGGTTGTGGCAGGTAAGGTTGTGGCAGGTAAGGTTGTGGCAGGTACGGTTGTGGCAGGTACGGTTGTGGCAGGTACGGTTGTGGCAGGTACGGTTGTGGCAGGTACGGTTGTGGCAGGTACGGTTGTGGCAGGTACGGTTGTGGCAGGATGCAGGTGGATAGGGGTGCTATCAAGCCAACCGACCCCGATGTTCCCCTATTCGCCAACACCCCTTGCTCCCCCCATTTCCCCTTCCACCAGACCCGGATATGATGCGTAAGATGCAGGTGGATAGGGGCGCCATCAAGTTCGTGATGTCAGGGGCCAACATCATGAGTCCGGACTCACATCCCCTGGCGGGAAGATGGACGATGGCATTCCCGCAGACTCCCCCGTGGTGAGTGAGCCAGAATAGAACCGTTCATCCCTGAAAGGAGGCATGAGGGAAAGGAGAACCTTCTGTTTTACTTCTGATTTTACTCAAAAGTTTTTTGGAAGTTCTCTTTTCAATGCTCCGCCCGCCACTGTGTTGCCATGCTCTGCCTGGTCATAATCGTCACTGATGGCGCAAGGGCAGCAGTACTAGCGAAACGCTTTAGCAAGTAAGACAGGGAGTAAAATATCCCTAGCTAAGAGAACTCTGCCCGCCAATGTGGCGCTATGCCTGGTCAAGAGTTCACTCAAATCATTATTTGGGGTCTTAGAAGCAAGCAGTGAACATGCTAGGTGCCGTTCGGGTCGACTCGGCACAGTTCTCTTCTGTGCCCTGGCAGGCCATCTTCGTCGAGGGCAAAGAGAACGCTCTATTGCCATTGGATGCACCTGCCATCTGACAACATCTTGGTGTAACCATGCCGTTATGTGGTGTTGGACTGTTGCCTTCACCCCTCCACCATCCCTACCTCATGCGTTGCTTGCTTCCCTGCCCTGCCAGGCCATCTTCGCAGAGGGCAAGGAGAACGCTCTAGCGATTGGATACACCAGCACCATTCCCTTACCAGCCCCTTATGTGGTGTTGTGCTGCTGCCTAAACCCCTCCACAATCCATGCCCTCATGTGCTACTGCCCTGCCAGGCCATATTTGCAGAGGGTAAGGAGAACGCTCTGGCCATTGGATACACCAAGATGTCGTCAGATGACATGTGAGAGACAAGGGATGGCATGGCATGGCATGGCATGGGATGGCATGGGATTGCATGTGATTACATGCTCAGATGCAGCAGATGAGGCCAAGGAGAACGCTCTGGCCATTGGATACACCAATATGTTGTCAGATGACATGTGAGAGAGAGGCATGGGATGGTATGTGATGGCTTGTAAGGGGCATGCTAAGTGATGGCATGGCATGTGATGGCATGGCATGTGAGGGTATGACATGTGATGGCATGGCATGTGACAGTATGACATGCGATGGCATGACATGTGATGGTATGACATGTGATGGCATGGCATGTTATGATGGCATGGCATGTGATGGCATGGCATGTCATGGCATGGCAGTGACGGTTTGACATGCAGGAACATGCTCACGTGCAGAGGATTAGGCAGACCAGTCGGTTAAGAGACTGCCTTTGAGATGCCTCAGAACCTCCTCCAGTATCCTCCTGATATACCTTTCTCTCCTTTATACAACGGCTCCTCTATAGGTGCAACTTGCAGCTTGAAAAATCCTCAGGCGTCGACCAGTCACCTCATCCCACCTTGCTTCCCATTCATCCCCCTCTCCGATTGCCCCTCCCCAGTCGCAAGATCAACAAGGGCATAGGCATCGATCTGATGCACTGCCTCAACAATGGGCTATGGAAGGTATGGTATGGGTGATTTGACTGGGGAAACGTGGACCCTGGAAGGTTCCCTGAGGTCCGTTTTTTTTTTTTTTTTTTTTTTTTTTTTTGGGGTGGGGCGGAGGGGGGGGGGGGGGGGGGGGGGGGTGGGGGGGGGGGGGGGGGGGGGGGGTTGATGCTATGTGCTACAGTGTGGTGTTGAACGCCATGATCTCATGGGTGCGGTAGTTCAGTCGAGGAAATGAAACTAGTCAGCCTGACATGGTTTATCTTCGTGTATTGCTGTGCCTGTGCAGATGAAAACCATTGACTGAGCCATTTAGCCACCCTGGCGCTTCGGATTGTCAAGCGTGGGAGTTTTGTTGCAAGCACTAGTTGGGTGCTGCCATATTCAAACTAGTTTTCAAGGATCAGATCAGGTGTGCTAAACTACTTACCTAAAGTCAACCATTGCTGGGAGTATAAAGGTGACTCAAATCATGGATTGGGTGTTCATGTTAGAGAAACTTATCTGAGCTTTGATCAAGAAAACTTATATACGGTACAGCGGTATACTCGCAACAATCCCACGTTCCCTCGTCACGACCCCTCTACAGCCCCCCCAAACCAACTAAATCGCTTCTCGCCCTCATAACTTTTCTTTTTCCGATTTTGTGATGGCTGTACTATCAAGTGTACCATACTCGAACAGTCATGGCTGCATGCCAAACCCAACTTGACTGCCTTGTGCTCCTCCCATTCGTCTCTCATCTCAGTAGATGCTCCCTCCCCCTCATCTCGAGTTTCTCACCGCCACCATTGACACGTGCGCACGCCAGTCTCCAGAATCTCTGTATTCCAAGCCAGGCCCATGGTAGCTTTCCCCTCTGTACAAACACGGCTTGGGAAAGCTGCGACGTGAGGCAAGAAATGCAGGCCTCACAGGGCGTTCTGGGATCCACGCGGCCGAAACCTCGGGCTTATTCTTCCAATCGTTGAGAGCCACGTCACCTCCGAGAATCTCATTATATCGAGCTGCAGCGCAGTATCTCAAATCCCCTAAGGACCTGTATGGCCAACTTTTGCTGCCGTCTTTTTGGCTGGAAGGCAGTGCCTGCCTGCCACGCCTACTTCACGCTTCTCCTACTCTAGATGAGATTCCTTCTCCAGAAGCATTCTCCTCATCATCGTACCTTCCCTTGAAGCGTTTGAGAATGTGTGCAACTCGGGGTCGTCATGAAAGAGGGACTCCCACCCTCTCTCTTCTCCTCGAGAATAGGAACATTAGAATCCTCCTGCAGGCTAGATTCTCGGACCCACACCTTCCTAGAATCAGAACATCAGAGCTATGGATTCGCTTCTCGCCCCACCTGCCGTGCCACTCTCTGCTCTTCGTGTCGCCACGGGGGCGAAATGCGCGACTCGGACCCTGCGCCTCGGAACGACGGATCAATGTCGTCGCATGACGATGCGACGCCGCCAGTCACACTACTACGCCTCGAGGATCACTCGTAACGACAACCAAGAATGCATCATGGCCGGCGATACTAAGCTCAAGCAGCCGCGAAGTTCCTCCAATCCGCAAGCAGCCACTAACGCGTCGAACGCGGCGTCGAGGCGGTCGTTTTCGAGGCAGCGCTCGCCGCGCGGCGATCGAACAACAGCACCGGCACGATTCTCGGCGTTTTTCCCAACGGCTTCAAGGCTCTCGAAGGATTAAAGCCGGGGCTCGGCGACGCGGTGATTGCTTGCGGTTCAACGGTCACAAAAGTTGTCTTTTATCCGAGAGATATCGGCGGATAAAATAGATTCTGAATCGACCAGCGCTACCAGCGGCGGTATTAGTAGCGGATCCGCCCCTAATGATGCTGCTACTATACTAACCAGCGAAAATCGCGACGGCTGGGTTGTGAGGGAAGTGGTGCGAGACCAGACAATCGTAGGGTGGGCTCGAGCTCAAGAGGTTCTTGCCTCGTCTTTAACGCGACCCGAGAGTATTATGCACGGGCATCGCGTCGTGGCGTATCATCCCGTTGTCGCGGGAATGCCTGTTGCGAACAGGAGTGGCTGTTCGGAAAGCAGCAATGCTGGCGCTGGCGAGGGTGAAGTGGAAGCGGTTGACGTGGTGCTCGAGGTCGCGGGTTCGAATCCCAAAACTGAAATTGCGGACGAGGCGGATTCGGTGCAGCAGCAGCGCCAGCTGCTGGTGGTTCGTGCAAAGATTCTGGTCGCAGCGGATGGCGTGCGATCAGCAGTGCGAAATCAGATGATCGGCGACTCGCCTCGGTATCTGGAGCAGATTGGCTGGAACGCACTTGTGTCAAACGCGCTAAGCGGGGAAGGGTACCAACATGAGAAGCAAGTGTTACTTTTTTTCAGAGATGAGGTTACAGGTTACCACATGTTTCTGATAGATGTCGGCCACGGGCAGACTTTTTGGCAGGTAACGCTCTCTTTTAGCATGCAATTCATTTACTTTTGCAGTCTCTTCTCAACTAAACCCGACCCATCCATGCCACATCATTCTGCTAACAAGTTCCTGGCTTACTATCCACTTCTTTTAGATCGCACATTCTCGCACAATCGATGCTGGCGTATCTATCTCTTCCACCCTGCAGGATTTCATAGTGAAACAACCACATTGTGCATTGTTTCACACGCTTGCCTACTCTCAAAAACTGTTCACAAACCACTCTCAGAACCTGTGCTACCCTAACTATCTTCCCAATTTCAGGTTCAAACTGCTGACCCTGATGGCCAGCTCAAGTCTGAGCTTGAGCTAACACCCTTCGGTGGCTTTGGCAAACCAGGTGTAAAGGGTCGTTTGATGTGCCACATCAGCAAGAACATTGCAGACCCCTCAGGGCAAGACACCTGGCATGCCATGCTCAAGGCAGTTACCAGCACCAACTCCGTGAATATCTACGAGCGGTGGATGATGGACCGGCCTCCTCCAATGGATTCTTGGAGCGACTCCAAGTGTGGTAACAGGGTTTTTCTTATGGGGGATGCGGCACATGCCATGCACCCCGGCCTGGGTCAAGGTGCCCAGATTGCCTTCGAGGATGCACACCAGTTGTCCCTCTGCCTTGCTGAGGTCAAGGATACGCTTGCCGAACCTGCTGCCGTAGCTGCTGCGGTTCGGGAGTACGAGGCTCGGCGGTTCGACAGGTGTGTGAAAATCCATGCATACGCCACTGGGGCGCATGGGTTTGGGGAGGAAGGGGAACTGGTGAATGCGCTTTCTCCACCCGAGAGAAGGAAGCAGTTTTTCGAGTTTCGGAATTGGGTCCATGCATACCCAGACAAGATCAAAGGTGACCCTGAATCCATTTACTTCAAGTCAAGTGATCCTTCAACTGCTCACCGGGTCCACGACACAAGATAACTGTGACCCTGATACATGTGGCGTGATTCAGTCGGGCTCTGGAGCATGATGATTCAATTGGTGCTGAAGTTGTTTCGAAAAGTGACTAGTTACATTAGTGGCCAAGGATCACAGTGTGCTTG